ATTAACGAAAGTACTGGACAAGCTTTACCGAATAATGCTATGAATATTGACTTCTCTACTCTGAACACTCTTGACTTTGCTGTTACTAGGACTACTGATAGAACTTCCATTTGCCGCAGAGCAGCTATGCCTCTTTATGAAAGAGATGATGATAATAGGGGCCCTCGCGGCATTGAAGTATTATGGAATAAGCTCTCTGAATGGCCAAATGAAAGTTTTATTTTCGCCTATCTATGCTATTTAGCCAAAGTTTCTGGCAAAAAGGTGATTGTTGTTGATCCGGTTGTAACGGATCCATTGCATTTTCAATTAGAAGATATAAACTACGCTGATTTCGCCTATCAAACTGAGCAAGAAGGAGATGTACAAATTGTACTTCTTCCTGTTCATTTACCTGCACATTGGACTATCATTATCTTTGACCGTGAGTTCGGATTTTATTTCTTCGACTCGCTGCCACAAGATCCAAACAGATTATCTGAAAATCACCGTAATTATCATCCTGATAGAATTCCAAGACTTATGAACATACTTTCTCAATTGACCAACACGTCCGAGGAATTAATACATCTTGCGACATATGCCACAAATGAATACACACTTCAGCGTGACGGTAACAGTTGCGGTTACTTCATTTGCCTCTATGCTGAAGCGTGGTTATTCAATAACAGGAATCTTAAATTAAATAATCTCAACATTAATACTGAAAAGAAAAGAATTTTGTGGCATTTGAACCAGTTGTACTCCGGGGATAATGTTGAGTATCATCCGAGAAATGAACATGAACAATCTAATATACGAGTAACACCGATTCATAACTTGCCATCTACAAGTCTTTCAACTCCGAGAATGTCTACAAGATCTTCTACGCGAGCCTCTTCGACTAACTTAACTCCGGGAATGTCTAATATCACAGTTGCTACTCCGAAAGGAGAACAAGTTCTTCCTGTTAAACGTCAAGGCAGGGGGTGTCTTAGACACAAAGGAATGGGTTGTGCCTCTTTCAACTCAGGTCATCTGCCAGAATATTACAATTCCGGTCAATTTGGGGATAAAACTTGTGTGCATTGTGGTAATAGACTTCTTCGTACTGAAAAATGTTTATCCTGTACAGATGGTCGAGTTCGACTCGATCCACTTAAGGAATACCCACATGACTATGCAAGGCATGTAACTGGTGAATCAATGGACTCTAAAGAATACATACGAGACGAATCGAAATATAACACTTTGTTTGCTTTTGGATCACTTTCAGTAGGTCGACAAAATGCACCAACTGGTGGACCAATGCCTGTTTTACTGAATGGTGAATTCGCTAGACGGATTGGGAGTTTGACCGCAGCCGATCACCAGATTCCATCTTTTGATCAATTGTACATATTGGATTCTAAAGACGCCACAGAACATCGTATGAATAATACGAGTTTTGCTGATTGGAATAAAAAAAATCCGCATTTGTTCCACGAACTTGACAAACTTATTCGTGCCTATCATCCGATGGCCGAAATTCTTAAAAACTCATATGAATTCTACAAAGACATTGAACAAAACTCACCAGAGAACCTTAAAAACTTTAAGGTTATTTTGGTCGAAGATAAAAATGCACCTGCTGCTATTCAAGACCCAAATTTACATCCACGTCAAGTTAATCTGCCAACACATAATGAGTCCACAGTCTTTGCAATTTGGTCATCTAATACTGATGAGCCTCCACCGCTCAAAGGTATCTGGATCACAAAGAAAGGAAATGTGACTGAATTATGGCCAACACATTCTATGACTGATTCGATACTCTACCCTTGCATGTTTTTGCTTGGGGACGAGGGATATTCAAAGGATATACCATATATTAAAATTGCTAAAAAACCGAATACTGTTAAGGAAGAAGACTTTGATGACGACAAATCGGAAACCGGTTCCATTGCTGGAAGTGATTGCGGCTCTGTAGATATTTATGGTGACGAACCTAGCCGGTCTCGTCCCAATCTGTCGATTAGAGCTTTTTATCGTTATCGCTTTGGTATCAGGTTTCCGGAAAATGAACATTATCATCATATTTGGAGTACTGGTGGTGGATTAGGTCAGAAGTTTGCGCTGGATATAGCTGCCAGAATTGATTCCCAAGTCTTTGAATATTTACGTCAGCCTGATATGGATTTAAGATCTGAAATTGTACCAGAACTTGTAGACTATTTTGCTAAACATGCTGGCAAATCCTCCGCAAATAAAGTTGGACGTGTTGTTCTTTTTAGAAGTTATATGCCGGGTTTTAGGGCATACTTTAAGAAAAAATATAAGTCAGCGTGCACGATTATTAATCGTAAACGCAAGCGAGGATGTGCCATGTTCATGTTTACTTTTACTTCTAATCCAAACTGGCTTGAATTGAAAAAAGAACTTTACCCCAACGGTCAATCCTTGATTGATCGTCCTGACATTGTTATGCGTTTCTACGCGGACAAAGTTAGAGAGGTACACAAGGACTTGATTGATAGGAAAATATTTGGGAAACAATTAGGGTATGCAGAAAGTATGGAGTTCCAAAAAAGGGGTGGTCCTCACTTTCACAGAGTGATGGCTACCGATATTCCAGCTATTCCAGAAATTATCGAAGGTTATATACTTGCTCATATTCCTCCACTGCCAGATAAAGATGATAAAAGTCCACGTGCCGAAGGTTTAAGACGCCTTCGAGATCTTGTAATTAGACATCAGCTTCATGATTGTAAGCCTGATTATTGTGGGAAAAAAAATAAAAATGGGAAATGTTCTAAATTCTTCCCTTATGACTACTCGGACAAGACAATTCTTTATGACGATCAGCCAGCCGTCCATTATCGACCAAGTCCCGAGGACGGAGGCGAAACTGTATTGATACCGAAGGGTGGGGTGCTCACTGAGTATACCAATGCTCACGTGACGCCGTACAATCCGTTTATACTAATGAAGTATGAAACACACCACAATGTAGCGTATTGCTACGGTGAAAAGACTAATATGAAGTATACTATGAAGTACCCACTAAAGGGACCCACCTTTCAATACATTCAAGTCCAAGGTGACATGGTCGATATTGACGAGCCTGCGCACTATGCACAGATGTATTACCGCTCTGCTAATGAAGCATATGCAAGAATTCATTCGATGCCATATGTCCGACTTTCCAACACTGTTTACGAAATGGAAATTCACTTGCCAGGTCATCAAAACGTCGTTTTTAAGCAAAGTCAAGCTGCAGCAGTTGCTGCTGGACTACCAAAAAACTTGCCTAAAACCATGCTCACTGAGTATTGGTCTCAATGGAAAGAAGGAAAGTCGTGGCAATGCATTAATAAAAAATGGACTTTTGTAGATGACGCTTCAATCAAGGACACGCTTTATGAACATATGCCAGAAAGATATTGGTATGATAAGAAAGGAAGAATTTGGAAAAAAAGGATTCTTAATAAAGATGTAATAGGATTAATTTATCCGAGACCATCTCCTCGGGATCAAGAGAGGTTTGCATTATACATACTTCTCCGCCATTTCCCTGGCGATCCTGAGGCATTAAAGGACATTAACGGAGTTCAATGTACAACATTTGTTGAAGCTGCCAGATTGAGAGGTCTACTTTCTGACGATTCTGTATGGGAAAGGACTTTGGAGGAGGCCTCGCATTTCAGCAACCCCAGTGGAATGCGATACCTATTTGTACAGGTTTTGGTCTTTGGAAATCCGAGCAATGCTCGCGAATTGTGGGAAAGGTTTTTGGATCATATGTTCAAACCAGTAGTGGGCAATGATCCAGACGGGAATGAAAGAAATAGACGTATCGATCGGGCATTGGCCATTATTGAAGGACAATTATCTGACTATGGAATGACTAACCAACAATTTGATCTGGATTCTCCATCCCCCGGGATGCGACTTGACGTAGATACTGCACTTGATAACTTCTTCTTTGGAGACAAAGATGAAGATGACTTTGCAAGCGGGAATAAGCCAACTATTAAGCTAAATGACGATCAAGAAAATGTATGGACTACTGTTCAAAATGCTCTTCAAGGAACTTCATCCAATACCATCTTTGTCACAGGAGATGGAGGAACTGGAAAAACATATCTATTTAATGCCATTATTTCACGACTAAGAGACATGCGCATTCGTGTGATTGCTTCAGCATATACTGGCTGCGCAGCGACACTTCTGACTGGTGGTGCTACAGTTCATTCGGTTTTCAGATTTGGAATTAATATTGACGAAAATTACACCCCATCAGTGTCAATGCAAAGCTTCCACGGAAAGCGTATTAGTGATAGTCAAGTTATCATTATTGATGAAGTTTCTATGCTTCCTAAGCATATGTTGGAGGCAATTGATCGAGTCTGTAAACAAATGTGTCCACAAAATATGAATCATCTTCCATTCGGCGGAAAGGTAATAATTCTCAGCGGAGACTTCAAGCAATCACTTCCAGTGGTTGCTGGAGGTGTGATGAGAGATCAAGTAAATGCTTGCATACAGTCTTCGCATTTGTGGCCGCCTTTTAGGAATAATATAATTACGCTGAATATCAATATGCGTCAGGGACAAAATGAAATTCAGTTCACTGATTGGTTGCGAAGAATCGGAAATGGGAATTTTAATAACGAAGTTGAGATCGAAAGTAGGAATTTGGTTAGTTCGCGCCAAGAATTGATGAATTTTATAACTGACAATGATCAAGCTCTTTCAAATCCGAAAGAGCTCATTAACAGACTTATATTAGCGCCACATAATGACACAGTAAATGTGATCAATGAAGATATGCTCAAAAAAATTAAGACCACTGAAAGAATATATTTCTCTACTGACGAATCGAACGTTGAGATGCCAATGGATTTTGATGAATGTGATCATGATATTGAATCATTAAATCTTTTAAATCCTCCGTCTATTCCACCACACCGGTTACACCTTAAAGAAGGATGTATTATAATTCTTTTGAAGAATTTGGGAGTAAGTAGAGGGCTTGTGAATGGCACAAGAATGATTGTAAAGGAATTAGGGGATGATATTCTGAAGGTTGAGGTTGTAACCGGGTCAGTGGCTGGCTCAGGAACTATTATTTGCCTTTCACGAGTGTGGTGTGATTACGAAGATAATAGAGAAGATGGAGTTAATTTCCGACGGTTGCAGTTTCCTGTTCGTCTTGCATATGCAATGACGATCATGAAGGCCCAAGGCCAAACTGCAACAAGAGTTGGACTCGACCTCACACATCAAGTGTTTGGTCATGGTAATCTATATACAGCTCTTTCGAGAGTTCGTACTGCTGATTCATTTAAAGTTTTTGCACCACATGTTAATGAAAAACAAACAACTAAGAGTAAAATGATAAAGAATGTAGTCGCCGATGGCTTAGAATTCTTCTAATGCCTTTTTGAATTTTTCACGGACATGTCTCACAATGCTATTCCACTGGCCTGGACATAATTACCCAGAGCCTTCGCCAACGTTTGCTTTAAAGTCGCCAAATGGCGAAAATGTTACTTTATCTTAGCCTCTAAGACGCCTTTGGCGTGTGTTTACTTGATCTTCAGCCTCTCGGTCGCCGATGGCGGTAGGAATACTTGTAAATATTTAAAAAACAAAAAATACAAAAAAATTTAAAAAATTAAAAATCCTAAAAATGTAAAAATTCTTAAAAAAATGCAAAAAAATTTCTTATCCCAAAAAAAAACAAAAAAATAATAAAAATTTCATAAGAGACAGAATTCCAAAAATAAAATTACAAAAACACAAAAAAATTTAAAAAATTAAAAATCCTAAAAATGTAAAAATAAAAACAAAAATACAAAAACATTTCTTATCCCCAAAAAAATGAAAAAAACAAAAAAAATTTCTTATACCAAAAAATGGTGTACAAGGTCTTCCACACCTGACAGGCCTCCCCGTGGCCGTACACCGGTAACTCCTGCTATAAAGGCTGTTGTGAGCCATGCAGTTGAGGCTAACTATAATAGTCACAACACTATTATGGAGTCAAAGTGGTCAACCAATCAATGTCCAACCCTTGTAGCATGGTCAAATTTTCCCCTAAATTTTTACAAAAAATATTTTTAGACTCAGCTCGATAAGTGCTTTCGAATGATATATCATTTGCTCAACTTATCTTTCTTTTTGGAGAAATACTTTTTTGGCCGAAAATTTTGGCCGAAAAAATCACCAAAATTTTTAAAAATTCATCTTTTTTAATACATAACCTATGAACACGTTCTAAAGTCTTATTCTATGTAATCAAATCTGCTCTATCTGAGAAAAATAATTACATCCGCAACAGCTATCGAAAATCCGGAATAATTTTCGAAAAACCGAAAATTTTATAAATTTTTGAAAATCGACCCCTACGTCCCCAGCTTAAGGGTTACAGGGATTTTCTGCATCACAAAAAATTTCTAATTTTTAGTATTATTTTATAAAACAAACCCCACCAAGAAATCCTTCTCCCTTCCAAAGTTATGACCATTTAAAAATTTCCAAATATTTTTCATAAGGGGTACCCCTTTGGAAATAATCGGGGGTACAAAATTTTCGAATTGTGACTCAAAAAATGTGTTATATATTGGAACAGCACATGCTGAGTACGAATCCGGTGTCCAAAAAATTTTAAAAAATTTTTCCGAGCAATTAGAGTCTCAAAACCATCTCAGTCCCAGACAACTATTGGCCCTTATCTCACTAAGACTCAAGTGGAAACCCAACAAAGTATATATTTTTCGAGTGATTAGAGGGTGCTTTACAAGAATATCTAAGTATATTTCACTAATCACGCTTCTTCAGCTACTCCACCTGTAAGCACGCCCACACCTGAATTTTCAAACCTCTATAACTTGGTAAAATTTTACCCAAAATTTTTATTAAAAATATTTTTAGACTCAGCTCGATAAGGGCTTTCGAATGATATATCATTTGCTCTACTTATTTTTATTTTTGGAGAAATAATTTTTTGGCCGAAAATTTTGGCCGAAAATTTTGGCCGAAAAATTCTCCAAATTTTTTAAAAATTTCATATCTTTTTTTAAATACACTCTATTGACTCATTTTAAAGTTCTATTATATGTAAAAAATCTGCTCTATCCAATAAAAATACTTTCATCTTCACCGCTATCGAAAATACGGAAAAATTTTCGAAAAACCGAAAATTTTTGAAATTTTTGAAATTTTTGAAAATCGACCCCTACGTCCTCAGCTTAAGGGTTATGTGGATTTTTTGCATCTCAAAAAATTTCTTATTTTTATTATTATTTTATCAAACAAACAAGACCAGGAAATCTTAATCCTTTCCAAAGTTATGACCTTTTAAAAATTTCCAAATATTTTTCATAAGGGAAATAATCGGGGGTACAAAATTTTCGAATTGTGACTCAAAAAATATGTTATATAGTGGAACAGCACATGCTGAGTACGAATCCGGTGTCCAAAAAATTTTAAAAAATTTTTCCGAGCAATTAGAGTCTCAAAACCACTTCAGTCCGAAACCAATTTTTACAACTTTTGAACACTATTTGACTCAGACTCAAGTGGAACCCCAACAAAGTATATATTTTTCTAACAATCACAAGACGCTCTAAACGAATCTAAACACAACTAACGAACATCTCCAAGCAAAAAACAAAATCTAGCGTCCTTTTAAAGCCGCAGGCTTTCCACGCGCATCCCTGGACGCGCCCCCAAGCAGTTCTCACCGGTCAAGAAATGTAACCAAACGCTCCCCCCAGCGTAACCAAACCCAAAAGCTACACGCCCATTCAGCTACTCACCCTGCAGCTAGTTTATATATACTATAATTTTACAGGGTGGTTGTAATATTTCTAGCGGAATACGGTAATACAGTAATCTGAATGCAGGTTTACCATGAAGATCAATATATGGATCCTCAATCAATCTAAGGAGGAAGTATGTACATACTTGTACTTTATAAATTTAATTTTAATGTTGGTATAATAACAATAATTTTTTATTTGTTTTTAAGTTGTATTTTTAATTAAATTTGATATATTTTATTTTATCGTCTTAGCGATTATTTAAGAAGATAATCACATTTTCCGTATTTGTATCCATTCCATCCGGCATTGATTGCAGCATCCCAACCAGCATTCTCAGGGCTACGGAACCAGCTAGTAACAGACTGGAAAGCGGCTCGCGTTGACACATACTTTTTCAGACAGCCATCCCAATGGGCTTTACAGTTTCGTTCAGCGTCATCGGCAAATTTGCAGACGTACCAAAGCGCGTTTACGCTGAAATTATCAAAATTTAAGTTCATTTGGTTAGAAATGTTGAACATAAAACTTACTTCCATTTGACAGCCTTTTTCCATTTCCAGGATTTATCGCAAACACATTGTGAGTTTCGGCAGTTTTCCCCAACGACGCCTGTTCCACACCAGCCCAGGGTTTTACCAAAAAATAAAAGGCAAAGCACCCCCAAAGCAATCAAGAAATTGAAGGAACGATTCATCTAAAAACAAAGTTGTGAGAAAAATGAACAGTAAATGAATGAAAATTTCATAAGAGAAAATTTTGAGCGTTATTTGTAAGAAAAACCATTTTAGCAACTAAAACGAAAAAAAATGTGGCAGACCAGGAAGAAATTTGATAGCAACAATTACAATGTAAAATAAACGTGGTTGTGATAAGCATTAGTAATACTCATAAAATTAAAACACATATTTGTTGTTTATTAGATGAATGGAACTAAATTACCTTTAAAAAATGAAAAAAAGATTTGGTCATTTCCTCTCTCCCTTTATTTATTAATACATATATTTGTTGAATAAAAAGTTAAAAAGAAGGCTCCGTTTTTAATAGGCGGATCGGCGCGCCCCATGGGTGGGTTACCACTATTGGGGCCCAACCAGGGCTGCACGCAATCGAAAAAAAAGATTCCGCAACTCGCAATCCGCAACTCGCAATTTTTAAAAAAAAATCCGCACCCGCAACTCGCAACTGCAAAAAACCCCGCAATTTACGCAACTCGCAATTGCGTGCAGCCCTGGGCCCAACGCCGACTAGTTCTTGTGCAGAGAACTAGGATATATATAATAGTAAAATCAGAGTTTGGTGTATAATTCGCCATAGGTTTTTAATTTTTTAATAGAGAATAATATCTGTACAAAAGCATTTATACATAAAGGAAAATTTATAAAATACATCTATATACATTTTGGTAAAACTTTGACATATCTCCCATAATCCGATTCGGACAAACAATACTTATGTTATTCCAAAGAGTTCGAAAAGTTAAGTCGAACTACATAAAATTAAACTCGGGACACAATACGAGTCAAGATAAATGTCCACGAAAATCGAAAAACTATATGGGGACCAAGCTGATTTTTGGGGGGAAAATCCTAAGAAAGCTCATCCGAAAGAGCTCGACGATCTGAGTCGAATACGCATGCTGCAAAATAGCAAAAGGTCCCCCCTCCATGATTTTTTAGCATTTAGGGGCCTGTACCTCGGCTTATAGGTGTCCCGAACCTAATTCTAGTTCGTTCGACTCAACTCGTCGGACTCTTTTGAATGACAAATTGGTTGTCCAAATAGGACTATGGGAGCTATGGCAAAAAATTTTTTCTTTGTTTTCTGTGTTTTTCTGTGTTTTTTTGTTTTTATGTGCTTTTGACTTTTTTGTATTTTTTGTGTTTTTGTGTTTTTCTGTGTTTTTTGTGTTTTTCTGTGTTTTTTGTGTTTTTCTTTGTTTTTTGTGTTTTTTGTGTTTTTTAGTGTTTTTTGTTTTTTTTGTGTTTTTTTTGCGTTTTTGATTTTAATCTTTGTTTTTTTTACAAAATATGTATATCCCATTTTAACTCATCTTTTGTCTGAATTTTACATTTAAACAGTTTTTCACTGACATCATACATTTTTCCATTTTTTTGTTAGTTTTTTGTTACTTTCTATAGTTTTCGAAAATTCTGGCAAAATCTTCTCTCTCAAGTCGTTTGCCATGTCTTTTGTCAAATCGTTAGCATTGTTGTTTGTCAAGTTCTCAGCTTTTCTGTTCACACGTTTAACTTCTTCCTTCATCTCGGGAAATGGCGAGTTTTCTTCATTCTCCTTTATTGCCATTTTAACTGTGTTAATTAACATGTCAATTTGTCCATATTCAGGAGCTTGTTTAATTGCATTTTTAATATCCATAGCACGTATTCTATACGATCGTTCAGGGTTTTGATTGTATAGTTGTTTGCTATAAATTAATAAATGAGCTTTTATTTGTATATTCTAATTCTTCACCCCAAAAATTCCCCCATAAATTTGACCAGTTTTATATGAGTCCGCGGGCTAATGTATCGACGACTCATCTCAGCGAGCACTTTCGAATGACATATAAAACATACATATTTAGCTCTGAAGTAGACCAAATTTATTAATTAATAAGACAAAATTTTGACTCCATGGCAGGGATGGGACGGGTTGAGAAAAAAGCTGGGTCGGGTTTTGGAAAATTTTTTGGATCGAGTTTCGGGTCGGAAAAAAGTCCGGGTTTCGAGTAGCCCGTTCCATCGCTGCTCCATAGTGTAATTGAACTATCAAGCTTAATACTGGCCGTGTT